TCAGCCTTTAATTTATCCAGCACTTTTTTTTTAAAAAGGCCAGGATGTCATGAGATGGCAAAAGTCAATAGGGAAAAACCAAAAGTCAATAGGGAAAAGCAGACCCATTGGTACATCAGATATTGCGGTTGTCAGAGCCTTCAAAATGTTTCGTATGTTCCGAAGAATAGATGACAACAAGAAGAACTTAACCGGAGTACTGGAAACTGTTCTGTTTTTAAATCAAGTGGAAATTCTAGAAATGAAAAAATAGTGCAATTAAGGATTCCACAGATGAGCTCAAGCATTGATTTAACAAAGCAGATAAGAGGATTAGTAACCTGGAAGTTAGGTCAGTAAAAACTTTCAGTCTGAAGCCCAGAAAGTAAAAAAAAAAAAAAAGGGGGGGGGGAGATTCAGGGAAGAAAAAAACAACAAAAACAGATTTATGGAATATGGTAAAAATGTCTAATAAGGACACCTAGAGTCCTGGAAGGAAAGGATGGAATGAAGCAGAAGGATACTGGCTGAAAATTCTAAAACTGATGAAAGACATCAAACCATCAATTCAAAGAGCTCTTCAGATACCAGGCAGAGTAACTGCAAAGAAAAGTGCTACGCACATCATTATGAAACCGTGGACACCAAAGACAAACTATAAAAGCAACCAGAGGAAAAACTACTCATTTCTTTAAAAGAAGCAGCAGTATGTCTGACAGCTGGAATTTCAACAAAAATAGTAGAAGCCACAGGATCTCAGGAGATGCCTTCAAAGGGCTCAGAGTAAAGCAGAGTCAACCCAGAATTCTCCCTCCGACAACAAGTGAACTACAAAACTGAAAGCAATAAACACATTTCCAGGCAATTAGAAATGGAGAGAATTTACCACTAACAGACCTTCATGAAAAGTGACACTAAGGGAATTCTTCAAGGAGATGGAAGCACAGAAATGAAGGAATAGAGAGCATCTGAGAGGGCAGACAGGGGCAAGTATGTGCATTGGCTATTCGCTGTGGAAGACTGCAAACATACCGTCTTATGGGGCTTCAAATATATGTTGAGTTAACATACATTACAATCGCCCGAAAGTCTGGGGGAGAGGGAATTGAGCATTGTGAGGTCCTGCACTGTGACCAAAAAGGTAAAAGTACTGACTTGGGGTAGATGCAAATGCATCATGATTGACATGTATCAACATTATTTCATTGTTGAAAGATATTTTGATGCATTTTGGAAAATACATGTTGTCCTTAAGTGCATCAAAATCATTAAAAAATGCAAGGTCAAAAATCAAGTTCCGACAAATTTCAAAGGACTGAAATCATACAGAGTATGTTCTCCAACTGCAGCAGAAGTAAACTAAAAATCAATAATGAAAAGATGACCTTAAAATTCCCTGGATGTTTGCAAATTAATTAATGTACACTCAAATAGCCTGTGGATCAAAGATAACTCAATGGAAATTAGGACATATCAAAATTTGTAGAAGAAAGCAAAAAGCAAGTGATGAGGGAAATCCACAGCATCAGGTGCACGTTTTAGAAAAGAAAAATGCTAAAATTAGTTAGCTAAATTCCATCTTGAGAAGGTAAAAAAGAACATGATGTTAACCCTGAAGAAAGTAAAAGAAAATCAAAGTCAAAAACAATGAATTATGGAAGTGTACAAAGAGAGCAATAAAAAGGTGGTTCACTGAAAAGGCTCAAACATTAATAAACCTCAGCAAGACAGATTAAGGACAAATAAAAAACAGAAGGCACAAACTACCAATACCAGTAATGAAAAAGGAACATTGCTGGGGCACCTGGGTGGCTCAGTCATTAAGCATCTGCCCTCGGCTGAGGTCGTGATCCCAGGGTCCTGGGATCGAGCCCCCATCGGGCTCCCTGCTCAGCGGGGAGCCTGCTTCTCCCTCTCCCACTCCCCCTGCTTGTGTTCCCTCTCTCGCTGTGTCTCTCTCTGTCAAATAAATAAATAAAAATCTTTAGAGAAAGAAAAAGGAACATTGCCACAAATCCCACAAACAAGATAAAAAGAGGATAAACATGTAAAAAATGTGACATTTATACGAAATGGATAAGTTCCTGAAAAAACAAAAACATTCTATAACTTATACAAAAAAACAAAAAAACCAAAAACCTTGTACTTGTGAAGGAAACTGAATCTCATAAAGAAAACTCCTGAGCCACAGGGCCTCACTAGGGAGTCCTAATCCTGTAAAGAACCTGTGTGTTCTTCAAGCTCTCCCAGGTTAGAAAAAGGAAACACTTCTCAAATTAGTTCCTAAGTCCAGCACAACCACGATGCCCAAACCTGCCAAGGGCATGGGAAGAAAGTAAAAATGCAAGCAGATCTCCCTCGCGCACACAGTCAACCAGAGTCCTAAGGAAAACACGAGCAAACTGCAGGGCACGGTGGTGCTGGTGGGCTGCAGAATTCCGCCCCTCCTGTTGGTAACAGGGCTTTTCTCCTTTCCAAAGGGATTCACTCATATTATCCCATTTTCGCCAAAGGTTTTTTTGTTTTTGTTTTTGTTTTTTTTAAAGATTTTATTTATTTAATTGACAGAGAGAGAGAGAGAGAGAGACCGCGAGAGAGGGAACACAAGCAGGGGGAGTGGGAGAGGGAGAAACAGGCTTCCCGCAGAGCAGGGAGCCCGATGCAGGGCTCGATCCCAGGACCCTGGGATCATGACCTGAGCCGAAGGCAGCCGCTTAACCAACTGAGCCACCCAGGTGCCCCTCGCCAAAGGTTTTATTCTCAGGTACACTTTACACATAGGGAAACTAAGTGAGGCCCAAAGAGGTGAAGATGCTGTCCCAAGGTCACACTGAGGCTAGAGCTGGGTGAGACAAATGCATTCCACGTGATGGGTATTTACAGGCACCTGCGGTGTCCCAGCTCGGCCCAGGGATGTACATTTGTGCCTCTCCTGCCCCCAGCACCTCCCTTCTGCCTCCCTGGACCTCTCGCTCCTGAAGCCAGTCCGCTCTGCCGCTGTGGCCCTGGGCAGGCAGCACGGTGGGGCCGCAGGGTGCCCCGGAGAGGTTGCAGCGCCCCCTGGCGGCGACGTAGCACACGGGCGTCCTGGAGCACACCACAGGGCCCTCTCTGCCAGGATGGGGGCTTCCGACACTGACCCTGCCCGGAGGGGGCATCAGAAAATGCCCAAGCCCTGCATGGCCCGTGCACTGCAGCCTGATCATCAGCATGTCCAAGCTCTACAGTCTACGAAGCCCTTCCGCCTGTGTTTCTACCTGCAGGGAACCCCACAAGCCAAGTATCAATACCCTGCTTTGCAGACGAGGAAAGCGAGGCTGGGAGAGGTGGGCAGCTTGTCTAAATTATCTATGCAGAGAACAACAGATCCAGGGGAGATGCAGGACCTTCCCCACCACCCCAGGAGCCCCCCCCCCCCAGCACCGTCGATGTGACAGAAGATGTCCTGGGTTATGCCAATTATATGCTGTGTGACAGACAAGGTTGACAGGAATGCTGAAAACGGCACAAATACTCGAGAAAAAAAGAACTCCTGACCTAGCTGAGCAGGAACACAGGCATTTTTTAACGTAGAGAACCCAGAGGGATGCCTCCACAGTGGGCGACGTGAGATGCAAAGAGAAACAAGACAGCATAAAAAACCAGAAACTGAAGAACACCTTTCAAGAGACTATAAAGCGAGTAAAGTGGGATTCTTTACGTACATTCAAGCAGGAGCAGCTCCTGGGTAACCACGGGATGCAGGCATGGGGAAAAGGAGACAAATACAATGAGCTGCTAAGCTTGAACTTGGCCCTTTGTGGCAACGGAGGCTGGAGAGTTTCCCCTTCTAAAACCCGCTTTCTGAAGAAGCTGGGTCCAAGGCCCAGCTCAGAAGCTTCTAGCTCTCCTTGGTAAACAGAGAAAACACATCCTCAGGATTCAGCAAACGACTCAGTGTGAGCCTTTGAAGAGCACCGTCTAAGAGAAGGTGAGGCCCGCCAATGGGGCTCCTTGGCAAGGCTTCTACAGTGGCCCCCAAAACTATGGCTCTGTCCACCTGAGTGGCAGGGTCTGTGAAAACAGCAATTTCAGTGAATCCAGAGCCAAGAGCAGCACCTGAACCCAAAATGACATGGTTCCCAGCACAGAAAATCCTGTATTTTCCACCTATTGAGTTTGTTTGTTAGAGGGAAATAAACCTATGGATAACAGGAAGTTGGCGGATGTAATTTCTGCAGACCTTTGAAAGGCATTTGAGATGAATCCAGACCAGAAACTATTTAAAAGACTGAATCACATGAGAACCGGGTGGATTGGGCTGGAGTAAAGCCAGTAAACAGCAGGGACAGTATGCACTTCTCTCCGTGGAAAAATGTAAACAGCGGGGTCCCCAGGGTTTGGGCTGGTTTTACTTCTTCATCAATGACTTAGAAGGAGAAGGAAGTAGGAACCTGCCCCGAGCGTGAAGGAAACTTAGTGCCCTGGGTGGAGGGGAGCGGGCTGGGGGGCCTCACCGGGAAGGCCCCCGCTACGGCTGGGCCCACCGCGGCTGCAGAGACCCAGCGCCGGGCCCGCTGCAGGTGCTCAGGACCAGTGGGCCGCAGAACCAGAAAGGTGGGCAGAGGAGGGCGGACCTGAAGTGATGCCCGCAGGGAAAAAGCATTCAAAATAAACACACAGAACTTTTTAGTCTGAGAGAGGAACACAGGGAGTTATTGGTGACTGCTTGGATCAGCTAGTTCTTTAAAAAGTTTTAAATTACAGGGGGAAAACAAAACAAAACAAAACAGAAGGAGGGGAGGTTTAGGTCAAGCACAGAGGAAGAGAGAGGAGGGCGTTTCCAGCGAGAGAAGCCCCCTGAAGTCAGGAGGAGCCCTCTGAGGGCGAGAGGCCCAGGAGGCAGTCAACCCCTGACCCTGGCAGTGAACTCCAAACCCGGGGGGGCTGCCGTACTGGCCCCCACACCTCTGGCCCCTCTCTAGCCACGGCCCCCGGCCCCGGGCCCAGACTGCCCTGAGGCCACCCTGAAAGAGCCTCACCTGCTGCTGGCTCTGCTCCTCCAGGTTCATCTTCACCTCCAGCGACTGGCGGGCCTCCAGGAAGGCCTTGCGGAGCTTGCGGTCCGCCATGTAGTAGGACATGATGCCCACGGCGATGGCACACAGGTAGAGGAAGACGTTGGCCAGGATCTGTGCCCCGAGGAGAGAAAAGGACAATGAGGAAGGCACATGCTCAGGAGGAGGGATGGAGAAGGGGGGCACAGGTGGTAACGAAAATCAAACCCCAAGCTGCCTGGTGTCCAGGGAGGGCCCCAGCGAGCCTCTGCCCTCGATGGGGTATTTAGGTCCCTGGAGCAGACCCTGTCCCACTTACCACGGGCGGGTGAGGCCCGCGCCTGGAAGGCTGGTTGAGTTGAGGGGCTGTTCTCCCCTCCTGCTTCATGCCACAGCTAAACAGGCCAATCCTGTCCACCTGTGTGGCCTGAGCAGTCCCTTTGCTACCCAATTCATTCATTCATTCATTCATTCATTCACTCACTAACTCATTTGTTCAACCACCACTGAGAACCTATTAGGTACCCTTAGCTGCTGTGCTGATTGGCGGGGTAGGAGAGCATACCAACCCCAGATCCCCTAGCCAGGAGCGTATGAAAGCTGCAGGTTGTATGGAAGGTCACAGGGGACATGCAGCAGTCCTGGGCTGACCCGGTCATCACACTATCTTACACGTGGTGCTGCAGGTGTGTAGGTGGCTGGGATTCACACGCACCCCCTCAGCCAACCCACCTGCCAGTACCAGTACCCAGGTCCCATGAGGAAGCTACGGGTAGGGGAAAGGGTAGCTCTAGGAACCAGACATCTGTTTTGCAAGCTTGGTACAGTGGCACAAAGGACTTCTTGGGCACTGAGAGTCTGTTCCTCCATCCTTAGCCCCCTGGAGGCTCCCCTAGCTGTCTATAGTCCCAAGCTGGCTTCTGCCGGCTGCTGGGACCGCAGACCTGACCGCCTCCTGCCACAGGTAACCTTGGATATGGACCCAAACATCCAAACCACATCTGATTTCCTGGTGCTTGTTGCTAAAGGCCACAGTCTTTGACCCTGACTGGGTCCCATTTGGGGCTGGACCAGGTTCTAGCTTCTCCCGCTTCTCCAGCTCCTATGAGGCCCATTTCCAGGTCCGGCCCCTCCCACTTCCCCAGAGGCCAGCTCACACCCTCCCCACCTTGGTTCCCTGAGGTCCCCCCCAGGGGAGGCCAGACCCCTCCTCTGAAGGGTGTGGTTTAGGCTGAAGTTTGTAGTTGAGATGTGGGTAGGGAGGCAGAAGAGTTCTTCATTTCCAGACCTACAGAAAGAAAATGTTCTCCTAGAAAAGTATAATGTTTTCTGAATAGGTGAAAAATACAGGGAAGTCAATTTTAGATCTTCAAACAAGATGGTTTAATAGACAATAAGAGAGGTTAACTCTGACATGAATTTTCTGGGGACTCTCAGTTACACCATATTCTTCTCTAATTCTGTTTAATCAGGGCTGATCAACGCTGACCCACCACCCTCAGCAGAAAGTTCCTGCAGGCCTGGGCACTCAGCAAAGGCCGGCTGAATAATGAACTTGTTACTAGGTGAGGTGTGTCTCGATACTGGTCATCAAATGCAGATTTTACAAGCTCCTTGGATGGCTGGTTCCAGCAACTAACACCTCATTGTGTTCTTGGGTCTGGGCAGCCCCGATTGCCTACACCATTCATGCGGCAAGTGGGCGACTTCAAAATCCCATGGGATATCTCTTCCACTTCTGCTTGGGCATGATAGGCCAGTCCCACCTGAGCGGTCAGTATCCATATGGCCTCAGGTCACTTATTAAATACCTGATAGTCCAAAGAGCCGCCAATTTATGTTGAGTCAAAGCAAATCACACAGACCATGCTGAGTCTGAAAGCCAGTCTTGGCCTGAGGTCCAGAAACTTCTGCCAACCCAGAGGCCACCTCCCTTTGGGGACTGTATAGCCTTGGAAATCTGCCTGGCCCCAAGTTCATGGTATAGGAAGCTAGTCAACAAGGTCAGGCTGTACCTCACGCATCCTCACTGAGCAGTTGCACTTTGCCAAAGCTCACACGGGGTCCAGATACAGCAGTCACCAAGGCCAAGGGTCCCCGGCCTTATGGGGCTCTGGGTCCTGGAGGTCAATGGAATAGCTACACATTGAGGACTCGCATGTCTGGGCCCCATACCTACCAGTGTCCACGACTCCCAACCAGAGGCTCCAGACAAGGCAAACTGCCCTGGGGCCACAGGCCCATCTCTGGCCCTGGCCACAACCAGCCTGAGCTGCCACACCAGGCCAGGGACAGAGCTTCATGCTCAGGGGTCTCCTTACCCCACAACAGGCCCTGCCTGACCACCTGGCGGGGTGGACGGAACAGACTCTGTAAAGTGTACAGTGCTGAGGCTGTGTCAGGCTTACTGCTGTCATGATCCACCGGGCTGCCCGCCTAAGAAAACCACACCTGCTCTGCAGACAGAGAGCAACTACAGTGGTAAAGCTTCAGACCAACCTCCACCAAAGATGGTTATCCAAGGAGCAGAACAGGATTCAGGTTCAGCTTGCACCTGGAGACCATTTCTATGGGGCAGCACTCCCTTCCTTGAACTATGCCTATTTTAAAATAAGCTCCCCTTTCACTTTCCACTTGGAGGTGCAGAAAACAGGTGCAGGAGGCGGCCTGGCCTGTGGCGCGGCCCCTCGCTGGATGGGCAACCTGCTAGATCAGGTGATTTCTCTGAGCCCCTCCTTCACCATCCGTGAGCTGAGAGCTAACTCCTCTCGAAAGTCCCTGCAGCCCTGACCCCTCACTTCAGAGGGCGAAGGTTGGGCCTGGACAGGACCCCCTCGGAGAGGCTGGAGGGAAGGCAAGGATGGGTTGGTCACACTGCCTCCTGTCCCCTGAGCACCCCAAATTACAGAGGGCATTGCCTACCCCTCCCTGACCTGCACTCTCGGCTCACGTGTGCAGGGACGTGGATGCAAATGGTCACAACTGGGCCACACGCTGGAGACTCATCTGGGTCCTGCAGGTCCCTCCCATGCCAAGGAATTCTCCCTCTGCCTCCCAGAGAGCTTATTCCTTTCTAGAGAATTCTCCCAGGAGCCCCAGGCTGTGGGATTCTCAGAGCTCCCTTAATTCTCTAAACTTGCCTCGACTAAAGAAAGGGTCCTCAGGGTTGCTGTTGCTCTGTTCCTGCCCAACCCCTCTGTTCCACGCAGCCATAGCTCCACACCTTGGAAGGAGCTCAGCAATCCCCCGGTGCCAGGCAGCAAGTGGCGGGAGGATTAGCTAGGGCCCTACAGGTGACTCTCCGCCTCCAAGTCCAGGGCACAAATCAGATTGGGCGATGCTGCTAAGTCAAGGAGACCTCCATCCAGGAAGCCAGGGTCCACTAGCGGGGAGGAAGGTTTGGGAGCGAGGAGTTGCTCTGCTCATGGGAGAGGCTCTCAACAGGAAAAAACACACAGCAACACAGCCACCTGGGTGATGGTCGCCCGGCCGGCTCCACCCCTGGGGGGGGCTCAGGTGATTGGGGGGGTGGGCAGTGGTCTCCAATGCTCCCGGGTGACCCTGCTTTGTGGCCTGATGTGTGGCCAGGGCCAGGAAACTCTCCTCCCAGCCTTAGTTCCTTGCCTGGGATATCACCTCACATCACATTAGGTCCTGGACACAGGCACATGCTTGACCTGCCTCACCTTGTTTAATCCACTCAAGACCGGCCATGTTGTTCCGATTTTACAGGAGAAGGAACGGAGACAGAGCAAGGGCTCAGAACCAGGGGACAGGTTTGCTCCCACGCTCACCTCTTCTATTCCATGACGCAGAGCCCCATCCTGCAAGCACCCCTGGCCTACTTACATATGGTAACCCCACCTCCCCACAGAAAGGATATGGGACATTTTGAAAACTAAAACTGCCACCCAGATACCTGCCCTAAGGCACTCTTGTGGGAGCTGTTGACATTTATGTTCTGAAAGAAAGTGGCAGAGGTGTGCACGAGGGCACACATACCAGCAGTATCTCTAAGCTCTTCAGATTCAGACATTTCCTGTTTCATGTTTATAACCATGTCTCACTTAGCAGAATGGATGTGCTCCTCGATATGGGGAAAAAAACGAGTTTCACTCCTCGCACGGTGAGCCCAGCATGGTGCCAGCACCGAGGAGTCCACGGGGACTGAGACACTGTCCCCGCCCCTAGGGCCACCGCAGGCGGGAGGCGGCCCAGGTCCAGGGAGGACACGGTGGGGTAAGCAGGGAGGCTGTCGTTTCTCTAAAACACATCCGTGAGTCTTGGTTCCTGCTACAGGTTAAGAATTGTAGACCCAGGGAAAACTTGAACCCTGGCGAGAGTCTGAACTGTGTCTCTCATGTGACTGGGGCAAATGCCTGTCTTCATGCTGAGCCCTGAGCTCTGCTGTTCTCTAGAGTGAGTTCCTGGGGCCCCTCAGGGTAACGGGGGAGGGTCTCTCTTCTCCCTTCAGGGCTGCCTTCCCTGTACCCCGCCCCCAACTACACCTGGCCCACCTGGCAGGCCCCTCCTCCTCCCCAAGAGCCCTGCTCAGCCCCCCATCTCCCCCGGCGGGCCCCTGCCTCCTTACCCTCCCCCGTGCTCCCCAGACCCACCTGAGGTAGTGCAACCACATCACAACTCGCCCCTCACCCTGACCCCTTCAGCCTCTGGTCAGCAGAGGAGCAGACCAGAAACCATCACAGACCTGACCTCCCAGCCTCATCATCTCCCTGGGACCCAGCCCTCAAGTCAGTATCGCCTCCACTGCACCCCAGCTCTTTCCCACCCCAGCCTCTGAACAGAGGAACGAGGCTCGGTCACTTTGCTGGGGACTGTGCAGGCCAGGACAGCTGGGGAGACCGTCCCCTGCAGGAAACATCCAGAGGATAAGGCTGAGCCTTGCAAAGAGCACAGAGGCCGGATGAGTGGCAGTCACACTGGTCAGGGAGGTGTCACACTGGGTTAGGGAGGTGTCACACAGCTTCAAGACGATGCGGGTCTCAGAAACAAAGACTGGCTCGGACACTGCACTCAGTGACCCCCGAGCACAGCAGCCTGGCAGGAGGGCTTCTCGTCTCCACCACTGTCCACAGTGACCGCCTGGGGGGGGGGGGCTCCAACGGCAGGGTTCG